GGGCTTTGGGGCATCTTCCTGCATAAAACGACTGGAGATTTGTACCTATGTATGAATGTATGTTTGTATGTCATTGTATGTATACAAACATATGTGTACACACATATACATGAACATGTTCACATACGCAATATATCGCTATCACATACACACACACACATACATACATGCATCCCCATACTCACATGTATACTGTATATACATATAGGGGCTTCCTTTGGTTAGGGTTCCAAGTTGGTGGTTTAGGTGCAGTTCCTGAGGACTACGACCATGAATCCTAAGTACCTGTCTTTAGTTTGGGAGCCGATGGGAAGCTAGCATGGTGACGGTTTCCGTGCTGGAAATTAGGGTTTGTGATGCAAGAATCTGGCTAGTCCCCGAGCCCAGTCCAACCCCTGAGAGCACCCAGACGAGCTCGAGATAGGGCCTGTGCAAATCGGAGCCCTGCAGGCGTGCGGTGCAAGGACTACCGGGCAAGCAACTCAAAGGTACTTCGGCCATTTGTTTGTTTTGAGGGTTGACTCCGAGTTGGGCTGCCGAACATCGTCAAGAGTTTTGTCAGGAAGCTTGTGTTTCGAGGATGCGAAGTGCTTCCGCACCCGAACCTTGACCACATCATGTGAATAGTCGCGGGTCGGCGGAGTAACGGGCCTTAAGTTGTGGAAGCTGCGGGTAAAACTTGAGCCTTGAAGCCACTGTATCCCAGCAATACAACGGCTTTGGGGTTCCTTGGATGCAGCCCCAGCATCACCATCCATGGAGGCTACGACCTAACTCGCCGTGCTCTCACCGTCTGGCATCGGAAAGCGGAGTTCAGCTGGCAGACTCTCATGCCGAATGACCCCAGGCTTGCACATGAAGACATAAGTAGAGCGAGTTCAGGGTGACAGAGTGTAGGTATACCTAAACCCTAAACATCCCTAAACCCTAGACTGTTTCAGGGTTCGTGGTAGCAGTTACCGTGTTTAGACTTCAGAACTTTGCGACGGAGTTTATCCCCAGCTTTAGCCCCGAAATCCTCTGAGCTCTGGAGCCTGCGAGACCTTGAAGCTGTGCCGCTTCTTCTACGTAGCCCCGAGTTAGAAAGCCCAAGAGCCAACATATAGTGAACCCCGGACGTTGGAACATGCAATTAGGGTGATTAGTGCTGGGATTCCCCATGCTTTACTTGAAGGGCATGAGGAAAATGAATGAATCCCGAGGTCCACATGAAAGGAACCCCTGAGATCCAAGGAGTATGCCGCCTTCAGAGGCTCCGACACAGCAGAGGCGCCGTTGCCAGCGGGCGCTGGAAGTTGGCTTCACTTTGGGAGTTGCTCGGACTTCCCGGGGTGGCTCAGCATTCGAGCACGTCTTAAACTTGGCTCCATGGGTTTTAAGGGCTTTGTCGTATAATGTTGCGGCCCGCCCGTTTACTATAGGCCCCCCCCGTCTGGGTGGCTTTGATTAAATGAGAAGGGAGTTGCGGGGTCGCAGGTTTGTTGGCTGGCTCAGGGTCTGGGTGGCTTTGATTAAGTTAGATTGGAAATGCGGGGTCCCGGGGTTTGGGGGCTTAAGTAGCAGGGTTTGGGAGGGTTTGCTTAGTAGGTTTCGATGCTTAAGTACTAGGGTTTAGGGTTGATTTGGGGTCTGGGGGGCTTAAGTAGAAGGGTTTGGGGTGGTTTAGTAGGTTTCGGTGCTTAGTTAAGTACTAGGGTGTAAGAGGATGTTTAGGAGGGTTCGGTAGGTTCCGGTGCTTAATTAAATAATTAAGTGAGTGGGGGTTTAGGGTCGTGGGTGCCTTAAGATTGACCATCACAGACCCACCAAACAAATCCCCCAACCCAAAAAAAGCACATTAATTAGGCCGCCCATTTTTTGGTACCGGCTCGAATAAGCAAATCCAAAACGCATTAAATAGGCACACCTTTATTATGAGAGCCTCTACATTGATTACGGGACTTCTGGGTCTGTGGGTTTAGGACAAGTTTTTGGGCTTGGATGTTTTTGGGTTGTGCATGGGGGCTAGGCTAAGGGGGCTACTTTTGGTTTCGGGGTAAAGGCTTTAGGATTAAGTTGCAGTATTTTGGTCTCGGTGGCTTACGCTGGAAAGGTTGTTTGTAGGGGTTGCGGGGGTTCAGGTTTACAGAGAAAGCACGAGATGATAAACAACAAAAGCGGGGTGTGGTGCTCAAGGAATATCCAGGAATGGCCGTTTCCTTGTGGAGGCATAGGCTAAAGCTATGGACGGCCCTCATGCTGGCAGGCTTTTCGGGTTTGGGCCGACTTTATTTCCAATGTCACGGGGTTTCGGGGTGTGAGGTAGATCCGAGAAGACGTGGTTTTCGGGTTTTTGCTTCAGGAATTAGAGCTGGACATGTCCGAAGTTTGTAAGTTGTGTGTGAGTGTGTGTCTTCGGGTGTCGGGCTGTATGTCCTCAACGGAGAATCAGACTACGAGAGTTGTCGTGCATTTGTATGCCAGGTTTCGCACATCAGCGCCGACTGCTCCCATCAATGACATGCAACAGAAGCTCCGAACCGCAACACTGTAAGCGTAAGTTGTACACTTTAAGCAACCGACATCCAGAGCAATCCCAAATCTAAAACCCCTGAAGCCTGTCGGAATTGAAGCGCGAGCTTGCTGTCAACCGCTGAGGCATCTCCGAGGAAAGCGTGAAGCCCGAAAGTGTCCTGGCCTGGTTTTCTAAATCTAGCGGGCGCGAGGGATTGCACCATGCTCTAAGGAAGTAAATACGGAACCGCGACCTGGACACTGTGTACACAGCATACAGTGTATACATACACGTCATAAGTAACTATGTGTGTGTGTAATATATACATATATATATATATATATATATACATACATACATACATACATACATATATATATATATATATATATTGTTGTTATTATTATTATTATTATTATTATTATTATTATTATTATTATTATTATTATTCATGTTATGCACATATCCACACACACCATTGCCACCATTATCATCTAGTAGATATATCACGGGCCCTATCATGTCTGTCAGTTTGTCACTTGTTGTTTGTCAGTGCTAGCCTATACTAGCAACAACAGCAATCATAATAGGAGTAATAATAACACGAGTACTACTAGTATTCATATTACGAGCACTTCCGGCAGGATCCTGAGGATTTTAGGTAGCCCCGAGGCCAGATCTCCAAGATCCAGGTGAAAAGCTTCGATTGTTTGGTGGGTTTGGGTGCTTAGGTTTGGGAGGTGTCTAATATAATTATAAGGTTTGGCAGTTTATTGTTGCGGGGTGTGCTATGTCGGAAAGCTATGAAAGCTGTTTGGCAAAAGACTGTTAAACCAGCATTCGAAGAGCGTGTCCACCGTATGCGATTTGAAATATCATCAGCCTCATGGTCAATGATAGAGGGGGTTGACTGTTGAGGCACCTGTAGCAGGCTTTTGGTGTTTGGCCCTCTTGACGCAGGCTCCTTAGTGTCGGACCACCTGACTGTGGCCTACAATTGCACCTGGGTTGCAGACTTCGGTTTTGGCAAATCGGTTTTGTTGGCGCAAAGAGGGCATCACGCATCTCTGAAACAGTTGCGTGCGCACTCGCAGATGCTTCAGTCATTGCGGTGCCTTCAACTGCTCGATTATGGCAGATGGGTAACACGATTTCCTAATCACGCTCTCGGTGAAGTTCGGGCTCTAGTCTTCAGGTTGTGAAATCTGAATGGCTTCGTCGAGGGCGAGGGTCGGGACCCTGCTGGAGGAAGCACCACATACCCATCATCTTTATTTCCTAGAGCCACAGCTCAGCCGGAGACCCTTAAATATGATCGTGCGAATGCGGTAGATCCGAGGTCCAAACTGCCGCCGAAGCTTCCGCCTCAACCGCCACGGCATCGCTGAACACCGCAGGGAGTGTCAGAGCTCGGGCGAGGTGGGCTTTTGGGGTCTTCGGGGTCGGAATGTGGGTCCCATCCTCATTCTATTGTACCATCTACACAAAAGGGTATATTAGTTTTTGTTCTGACGATGACCAGTCGTTGTCCCATGTAAACATGCGTCAAGAATGTGATTGTGTCAGTCTATGCACACCAAATTTTTGCATACATGTACCTATACTCTCAACTCTCAAAAGCAAGCTCAACTCTCAAACGCAAGGGTTATAGATTCTTTTGCATTGAGAGCCGACGCCCTGGTGCTACGTTCTCTCTTGTCCTTTCTTCTGGGTCCACAAAATGCAGTCCAAAGAAATGTGGCGCCCATGTTAAACATCCCCGTCCTTAACTAATTGGCCGAAAAGCTATGTGGGTGTATAATCCTGGCAGCTTGAAAAATGATGTTTGGGGTTGCCTCGGGAACTCAGTAGCTGGACAGTGCTGATAGATTGGCCTTGGCACTTCTGAGCTCTCTGATCGAAGTTCAACGCAGTGGTCTAGCATGGTCTAGCCATTTCGCTCGCTAGCGCTAGCTCCAGCCCCAGGCCCGAGCTACAACAGCATCGTTCCATCATGCTCCCGGTATAGGGATGCATCACAATGCTCCTCTATTGTCAAGTCCGATATCCTAGCTCTTGTCTGAAACCAGAACTACCTACCGAAATCTAGCTTTCTGATCCGAATTCGTCATAATCCCTAAATTTCTGTAATTGCCAAAGCCCCATGATTTGTACAGCACATTCAAAACCATCTATTACAGGTTCCATCTGAGCGCGGCTGGCTCTGCGAGACCTGTGGGGAAAGGCTTCCAGCGAATGCCTCCGCGCCACGGCTTTGAGCTCGCAGTCTACTTTAAAGTAGCGTGACCTGGTCTTATGAGGGTCATATATGGACCATGTATGCCTTTCCGGGTCTATGTCAAAACCTTCATGCTGGTCTTGACAGTTTAATAATGTAAGCGGGGTTGTGCAACCCGTACATTGGAATCCCCTCAAGCCTTGACCGTAGGGCGTTGTGGCCCTTTTGGGGTTCGAGGTGTATGACTTCGACGCTAGAAAAATCTATGATCTTATCCGAAACTGGCACAGTAATGCAAGGCTCACACCTGTCCCAGGCTTTGGATATTCTTCGCCATCGAAGAAGTCATGGACTGTGATGCATGCGATAAAAAGCTGCATGCGATAAAAAGCCGCAGCTTTGGCCAAGGCTAGCATGACTTGTTGCTGAATGAATCTTGAAGCCTCATCGTGAGTCGTGCGTGGTCCGAGTTGAAGTCTTGTCTTGTACTGTGCAGTCTTCTTGAGCACGGCTTGTTTGAATTGCGCACGCTACAAGTAAACTAATCTTGCAAGGTTTGCCGGGTCTGAAGGGTTTGGCGTTTGCCGTGTCTCGCGGGGTTTGCCGATTCTCGGGAGGTGTTGTTCTTGGCGTCGGTGCTGTTGTCCTTGCTCGCTGTCGATACCTATTTGCTGTCGAGTCGACTGCGACATGCGGAAGCTGTTCTTGACACTTCTTGACTATGAGGTCTCTTCTCAAGCTAGTGCCATGAGAGGTACCTTCTTCAGGGGTCCTTAAAGCGAAGATCCTTCATCCTCAGATTGGGGTCCCTTACTTTGACTGTAACTTGCCTCTATTACCCATTATAGTTTCTATCCTCAGCCCGAAACCACCGTTCTGGCTGTGGTTTCATCCTCTTCAGGTTTAGTCAAATGCCTGAGTGAGTCGCATGCGTGCCGTTTTCTAGCGATACAACCTGCCAGCGTGCATGGCAGTTCCAGTATATAGATGTCTGAACACTTTGCACAATCTACTCTTACGGTCCCCATGTAAGTAAGCCAGAACATACGCCAAGTCCCTACTCTTGCTTGCAAAGTGCATGGCTAACAAGTTAACAAGCGTCTCGTTTGGTAGCTGGTGGCGGGACTTGCATCTGTCATGCTGTCGCAATGCTCTCTGCATTTCGACTTAGTCAGCTACAATGGTGGAAAAGGTTGCTATCATGATGGATAAGGGTCGCCCCCTCTCAGAATTGGACAGTAGAAGGCTGCTACGCTCCATCATGTACTCTTTCCTGCAACTTCGCAATCGACGCTTCAGCTTTGGCTTCATGTGCACCGTGTCTCACCAGCATTGCCAAAGCAGTGTTTAGGAAGATGGTTCCTGTTTCGTGTCCGAGTTTGCCGTTGCTGTTGTTGCTGTGCGCGACAGCTACAGCCGGCGGCCACAGTTCTTGGAGCTGGAGGACGCCAGTTTCAGACATCTGGGACCAAGTGTCAGTTGTGGAGGTTCATCCGGAGCCTCCAGCAGAGACGAACTTTTCAGCCTCGCGACCGAGAATTTGTTTGTGATTTTTTCCGGGGGCCCCCAAGCAGAGCAAAACAAGCCTTGAAAGTTCCGATTCTGTGCTTCTGAGGCAATCCGCTTCAAGTGCGGCCTGTCCACTCTCCAGACGCGGGATGCTTGCACGGGTCCACATCCCGGTAACTGTAAAAACGGTACCCGGTGCTTCATCAAAAACGACTTTGCCAGCACAGAAGTCCATGCGGTGTGCTGCTGCGATCGCGACAAGACCCCGATTGACAAAGTGATTGCGGAAGACTGGAGACTGCACGCACATTAACAGAACTTGTTCATATTTCTTGAAAGGCATCAGAGTCCAATGCCTTCATTCTTCAGGAGTCCTTTCATCTTCCGTGCGAGCTACTGCAACAGGGAAGAGAGCAATCATGAACAACCTAATATACTAAACACTATAAGTAGGTTCGTCCTAGCCAGGCGGGAGGCAAAAAAAACACTATAAGAATTGAGCCGCAAGCCCCCAGCCCCAAACCAAGCTTCTCGGGGACAACCCAGGAGATGCTGGGCGACTCGAGTCCAAGATCCACCCCAGTACTATTGTGACATCCAGTGCTGTTCAAGGCTACCCGCAGTTTCGCGGTTAGGGTTCAAGGATCACGGTCTATATCGCTTCGACTGACTTGTGAAGGATCGCGTCGTCGTTCAAGGATTTCTGGCTTCCGCCCAATCTTGCAGACTGGGCTCTGGGCTTCACCCCGGCTTGTACCATCCTAAATCTAGGCTAGGTCCGACTCTTTCGGTCCGTAGATCTTTTCTTCCATACCCAGTGTGTGGAAACGGTCCGTAAGACTCCCATCAAAGAACCTGACTGCGAGGGACAGCCCACAAAGTGCGGTGGCCTGCTTCGGCAACAATCCGATCTGCTGTGACAAGGCGCCACTTGTTGAAGCTGATTCCAGAATCGTGTTGTGCCCCTGCTCCTGTGTCGGCATTTGCGCAGTATATTGCATGTGCAGTCCGAGGCTGAGCAATTTTGTTCGCTGGGCTCGTGGCATGTCTGTCCAGCTATCAGCCTGTCCATGCCGCCGAGTCGGCAAATCTTATGCGGTTGGGATGACGTTGTCTTGAGTAGATGTAAAGCCGCTGCGTATTTGCAACGGTTACTGGTAGCTTGTGGCTGCCATACCATCCAACCGCAGCCGAAGCGGGAAAAGAAACACGGCAAGACGTTGGACGACGAAGCCTGGTGATACTGCCATCTTGGTTTGATCTCTCACCACTCGTTTCCTCCACCCAAAACCTTGAACCAGAAGCTGCAAACAACAAACATACATACGGGCAAAGGCAACTTAAACTCCTGCTCGGAATCTCTTAACATCTTGTTTTCCCTCTATTCTCCCAGTGTAGCAAAATTATATTAATTGAAAAGTGTGCGTGTGTGTGTGTGTGCAAAGCCGAAAAGGTTGATCAAGATCAAAATTTTCGCCGTCATCCCCTAAACTCGAAACCCTATGCCAGCCTACCTGGGAGGTGACTGAATGCGGCATCAACTTGGAGGGCAACGCATGCTGCGCTTCGAAAGATCCATCCGCATGGAGCTTGGAGGGTTCGGTTTGGGGTTGAGACTTCAGGGAGATTCTGGGTTTGGGGCTTAGTGCATTGCAGCCCCTGCTCAAAAAGAGGTTGCGGGTAGCAGTGTGAAGGCTTGATGTCACTGGTTGGTGAAATCATGTTCCGCACTACCAGGCAGGCGTCCCAGCTCTTGAATCAAAGAGGCATTTGGGCAACGTCCTTTCTGCCTCGATTGTGGGACTCGTACAATGCTCGACACAGCACATGCTATGCCTTGGTAGCGCAGACAGGCTGTTTGACATCGAGATACCTTGCCTCCTGCACTGTCGCAGATTCTCTTCAGGTCCGAACAAACTGCTGTGCAAGCAGGGGGACTACTTGCTGGTATCACCGCTCCTGGTTGAAAGCGGCTGAACAGCATTGGGTCTCCACACCTTCTCGAACACAAAAAAGGTTGCGGTCCAAATGCTTCCATCACGTACGTATGTTTCGCTTGAAGCTTCACGAAACTTCCCCCAAGAAAGCAAAAAACAATGCCGCTTTAATGCCTACATCACAGGATCCCTGGGTCATGAAGGGGCAGCCGTGCTGCTACCGCCAAAATGGCACGACGTGCTTTGCAGAGGCCAGCACGCACCGATGGCCCCGAAAGCCTCAAGTCGAGACTCCCTTTAGCCTAGCAAAGAGCCAGAACCCCACACTACTACTACCACTGCTACTGCTACTGCTACTACTACTACTACTACTACTACTACTACTAGTAGTACTACTACTACTACTACTACGACTACGACTACGACTACGACTACGACTACGACTACGACTACGACTACGACTACGACGACGATTACTACTACTACGACTACTACTACTACTACTACTACTACTACTACTACTACTACTACTACGACTACTACTACTTCTACTACTACTGCTACTACTACCACTACTACTAACTACTACCTACTATCTACTAACTACTAAATACTAACTACTAACTATTAACTACTAATTACTAACTACTAACTACTAACCACTAACCACTAGCCACTAACTACTAACTACTAACTACTAACTACTAACTACTGACTACTGACCACTGGCCACTGGCCACTGACCACTGACCACTAACCACTAACCACTAACCACTAACGACTACTACTACTGCTACTACTGCTGCTGCTGCTGCTACTACTACTACTACTACCACTACTACCACTACTACCACTACTACCACTACTACGACTACTACTATTACTACTACTACTACTACTACTACTACTACTACTACTACTACTACTACTACTACTACTACTACTAGTACTACTACTACTACTACTACTACTACTACTACTACTACTACTACTACTACTACTACTACGACCTTAGCTACAACTACTACCTTTGCTCATTTTTTTACTACTACTATTACCATTACTGTTATTATGATGAGTAATCACGCTTGTTATGATCGTTTGTAATTCCATACTGCATGAGCTTTGCTACCGCAAGGGTCCGGACCCAGAGCCTTGCAGAGGCCCAATGTGCTACTGGGCTGCCTCCACCAGCTGCGTGGCGACCAGGCTCAAAAAATCCTGCAGCACCTTGGGTTTAGGGTTTAGGGTTCATTGACCTGCGATGGCCTTGCAGCGCTTAAGGCGTCGTGCAGCGCAAGCTCTGCTAGTGCAACATCCACAACACCACTGGGTCTTATGCTGGTATGTCAGGAAGTTCAATTTTTTGGGTCATGTACTACGACGCGGTAGTGATAATCCATTATGTACTGCCTTGCTTAGTTCTGACCTTGCTCCCTTCGGAGGGCGACCTGGACCATGGGCCAGCCCACTCCAGTGGCTCAAGCATGTTCTGTCGCGTGACTTCCCTGACATTTCCGATGCGACCCTCATCAAGCTTGCAGGGGACAGACTTCAGTGGAAGAACATGGCTTCCCAAGTCACTGCACTAGATGAAGACACTGTTCATGTCGTTTACGAAACGGCGTGGGAATGCCATCGTCACTGCTTGCAGGCGTGTGTTGAGTGGAATTGCGTAGTACATCTGTGGGCTTTGTATCCTCATGGATATCAACTCGCCTGGCTTGACCCTGAGGAGGGATGGTGTGTGTTTTCTTTGGACAGCTTTGAGCCTTTGGAGGTTTGCAACTTCTTCAGCCATTTTCTCATGTTGTATAGACCCTTCACTGTGCAGCTAGTGCTCACGCGTGATGTATGTGATGTAATCCTTCCTTCTTGCACGCCACTTCATCATTTGTTGTATACCACGTACCACATCCTCCTTTTCTTTGAGATCGTATCGACGTCCTGGCTGCTTCGGGTACAGCGTCTCCTCTGAAGCTGGGGATATCGATGCTGCATGTCGGCCTCGATCAACATGATTGGGGTCTTAAACTGGCTAGACTTCAGTCCAGTGGCAAAAAGGGTTCATTGACCAAGTACCGGTTCGATTTTACGTGTTGGTTTTCATGGTGGCAAAGAACTCGAACTTCAAATCATGTCTGGGGTATTCTGAGAATCATGATAGCTTTTCAAGGGTGCTGACGGCTTTTTTCGTTGAGACTCAGGCCTGTCATGCAAGCGTCTGAAATGCAGACACACAGCATAATTGGTGCGGCAATCATTCAAAATCAGGCGAGAAGCCGAAGCTTTTCAGACGCAGTGATGCCTGCCGGGGTGAGCATGTGGGGTGTAGCATAAAGCATTAGCCAGGGAGTTTTCAAGCCTTGTCCTGACTGTTTCGGACCAAGGCTGAACCTCGTTTGTGTCCTGGCGGCCGCAGCTGTGCAAGAACGTTGGTGCTCGTCTTGCGTCTCACCTTTTTTCAGAGATCTTACTCATGGTTGTATACATAGGCATGGCCAAGCATGAACGCTGACTCAGGGGTTGCGGCAGAACTTAGACACAGGTTGGCGCAGCTCTTGCCGAAGTCCTCGCAAAGCCCGCCGCTATGCCATTCTGCTTTGTGTGCTGCTCCTGGAGCTTCATTTTAGTGCTGGTTGGAGATTCTGCTATTACACTCGGCTATTCGCCTTGTGGCCTTCTGCGGACCCTAGAAACCCTAAATACCCATGAATTCCGAATTGGTGCCACTGGCTAAGGTACTCCATGATCCTGGCCACTGTGATGTTCGACCTGAGCGAGACGACGTGGACAGCTCAGAGTTGCAGAAACCAAGGCACCAAAAGCCTCCATTGGACTGGGGTACTATTCGGAAACACAGAGAGAGAGAGAGAGAGAGAGAGAGAGAGAGAGAGACAGAGAGACAGAGAGAGAGAGAGAGAGAGAGAGAGAGAGAGAGAGAGAGAGAGAGAGAGAGAGAGAGAGAGAGAGAGAGAGAGCGAGCAGGGTCACTTCAGGGGGGCCAAACAGTGCACACCGGGGCCTCACTCTTGCAAAGGGGAGCTTTTCACAACCAAGTCTTACCAGTGCGCACTTGTGCGCGAAGTAGGTTGCGAGACCTGCTTCTGGCTGCCTGCAAGCAAGCAAGAGGGAGAGAGAGAGAGAGAGAGAGAAAAAAACAAAACAGTACCTCGGCTAAGTAGACTCGTGCCCGTTGTTTCCAAGAGGCCCACTATGCCACGTCATGTAGGCACGTACAGCGAGCAGAGCCGCTAGCATACCGCATGCAATGCCATGCACCCAGTCAACCAGTCAACAGCGGGCAGCCCCTGGTGGGGGGCGTGCCCCTCAAGCCTGGCGAAAGAGAGAGAGAGAGAGAGAGAGAGAGCGAGCGAGCGAGCGAGCGAGCGAGCGAGGGAGGGAGGGAGGGAGATATATTGGCCCCAAGGCTGCTTCTTGCCGAACGCCTTCTTCTTGCAGTTCTTGTGCTGCTCTTCAGCTTTTTGCTTTCGATGCTTTCGACCGGCCCGGGCTTGCTCGCTTGTTTCCTGTGTTTGCCGGGTTCGGGATTTACGGTGTAGGGTTTAGGAAGCTTTCCAGTGGCTGAGTAGTAGCCCGCAAGGGGCCAACGAAAATCACTGAGTCTTTTGGGATGTAGGGCTCAGGATCTCGGGTTTGGAGTTTAGGGATCGGGGTTGGGCTTGAAGTTTGGGGTGTGGGCAGTAGACTCAGTAGACGGAGGTTTGAAGATGCCATCGAGCTTTGCCTGCGTTCCGGACCTCGCGGAACGTCAAATTGAGGCTTCGGATTCAGACTTTATCAAAGCGGGCTTCGCTGCGGCGCCAGGTGTCATTCGGGTCGGGTGCTGGCTGTGGCATCAGCCTTGGCGCGTCCAGACTGCCTCTGGCAACACTAAACGGTGCATTGCGGTGCTCATCAACATTCAGGACCCGTGCCCAAAGGAACACCTAAGTTCTTGCAGGTAGACAGTGCATCTTTGAATCTGGTTCCTGGGAGTACCTTGAACACGGGCTTGCACTTGATTCGTTTTCTGTCACACAAGCCAGCCCTTGCTTCAAAGCCTACTTCTGTTGCAGGCTCATCGTTGCTGACAGCCAAACTTTGCGCAGGAAGAAACAAGTTTTCGAAAGAAGCCGGAATAATTACCAGCTCTCAACCTTAAGGTCATCCTAATCTCTCAACCTTAGGCTATGTTACACGCTCCCAGTAAGCATTCTAATCATTGAGCCCCCCATTCTATTGCTTGACAAGCAGTCAACGGGTTTGTGGATGACAGGTTGATACTAGCCGCAGCTAGGGCTACAGTTTTTGTGGGGGTTTAATGGACAGAAGAGGCGGTTACAAGCTTGTAAGGGGTTTAGATTAGGGTAGTTACTCGAGGGGGCCAACAATTGGGTTGTTTCAATTGCAGGGAGATCTGAGAACACAGCAAAATTTGCAGGAGTACGTCCATTGGCCTCGAGTGGTGGACAAGAGTTGGGGCGCACTTTGCGAGAACATGCAGAGCCGCAGTGCGCCGGCTGATGTCAGCTACAGTTCAGACTGCTCACATGCCGTTTCTGGCAATCTGAAAATACATACGGACGAGGTCGGGAAGGAATCTGCGTTGCCACATGCGAAGGCCTTTTTAGCTGGTCTGCTGTCCAGAAAATAATTGCGGCTTCGGTGGCATCGTATGCGCAGCGTCTCCATGTAAAGTCAACACAACATGGTGAGTTTGTCGAAGTCGGACCAGCGAGTGGCTACTTGTAGCCATGTTGTTGTCCCTGTATAGTTCTTTTTTCTATATATATGTATATAATATCTATATATATATATATATATATATATATTATGGTTAAATGGTTTAGATCATGGCTAGAACCCTCTTTATTCAGTCCAGATGTACAGGACTCGGCCCACGATAGCCCGCAACCTAGTCTAATTATCAAGGCTCCGGCAGGACAAGTCATAACAGATGGGTGATATATACGCGCACGTATAGAACCTAATAGAATTGTATTCTAATTGCGTGTTGTTTTCCAGGTCTCTACAGTAGTGAGCTCTACAAAGCCCTTCTTAACGACCTAAGTGCCTACTACGCATCCCTACCAAGAAAGCGCACAACGAGTCTTGATCCTTGGGCTCAATTCCCTGTGTTCTCAGCAGACACACTCGCGGCTCCTGGTGAACGGATGACAAAGTGTAGAAGCCGATAATTAGCAATAGTATTTCTTGATGTAGTTATTACAAGTGTAGTTGCATGTACCTCCATTCCCTGTTCTGGTGCTTAGCGGCCCCGTAAAAAATGTAGGGTTGTGGGTTGGGTTAGGGTTGAGGCTTGGCAGAGAAGGCGTTGAGGGATTGGAAAGCCTTGATACAGCGGCCGTAGTTGTTCTAATGAGGTTCTAGGCTACAGGGATAATGCCCTAAACCCTCCGCGTGCTGCATGAACACTTAAACTCCAAACTCTCAGCGGTTTCGGGGTCATGGTCACCAGATCGGGGCTCTTCTCTGTTGGATCTCAAGCTTTTTTGGTTTGTGTGTTACCAAGTGCCTTGTCGTGCAATGATGGCATAAAAAGCCTGTTAACCAAAAAAGGAAACCACATCAGAGAGTAGGTGTTCGAAGAGCGGCTGGACAAGACCTACGTTGCATTCCAGAAAGCCCAGTCTACAGTAGCCAGCCAAGCCATGTAGGAACTTGAATGATGTGCGAGCGCCTCTGCAGTATCCTGCACCGTGTGTACACCTATTCAACTTTGAAGTTAAGCTTGCAAGTTCGAAACTTTGGCCAAGAGTTTGTTACATACCCGGCTTAAACGATCTGAAAAGCAAGCAAGTCAAGCCCCTCTTCAGCCAAGGTGCTGATTGGGAGGCGTGGCCAGTGCGATTTTTTGGATTCTCCGGATCCATGCGGGTTTTCGCCCTTTCGATGAGTTGGTTGCCGCACAACAAGTGGAAAGGGAGCCTGTGTGCCTCAATGCCTTACACTCGAATCCCAAACCCGTATCAACCCCAAACCCTACTTAAACGTAAACCCCAGCCCCAACCCGATGAACGGTCAGATTGTTTCGGCCCGGGATCTCAACACACAGGGTTCTCCATCAGTTGTTTGTTTGGCAAACAAGAATCTCAGACAATAGCAACCACACAAAGACCTCGTACAGTACGTGGATTTGTCTCTCGGCTTCTACCAATGCCAGTGCTTGGACGAGAACTAGCATGTACGCATTTGGGTGACTAGTTATGCTCTCCCGAGATTGCCTGAGACTGTTCCTCTTGTTTGTTTCTGCTGTAGATTTGAAACCGCCAATTTCAAGCCGAACTGAAACCCAAATTATGCAGACCGTTCAAAAAGACGGATCATGGCGGAGTGAAAACCTTCGGAATACCTGCGCTGCGGACGCATATCCATTCTTTTCAATGTGTCCCTGTGGGACTCGTCATAGCACGTAGATGGGTGTGACTGCGTTGTAGGAGGACGTGACGTGATCTCTCTCACTGTGATGTGACCTTCTCTTCCCAAGCATCTACAAGAGTCATGGTCCGTTGTAGGTTCGTCTTTTGCCGACCAGGGAACCGAAAAGAAAGGAACTATTCGAACCCTAACCAGATGTCGTGAGAACCCCGACTTCAGATGAAATTCTCACTGAATTCTAGGCCCTTCGCTTAGGAGCCTTAGTTTTTTGGATTAGGATTTTCGGCATTGTATGTTGTAGCCGGGGCGAGGCCAACTACAATCCTAGATTCTAAGCTGATATCAATGCTATGATTAGTCAAACTCCTACGATAGACCTGTAATGAGCCTCCAACTCCAACATTTATAGTCTCTTCTTTTGGTTACCGCGGTTTCCTTCTGTAACTATAGGCAGCGAGGGGCTAATATATGTATATCACATGAAAAGCCTGCACTCTTACACTATATTGCCCTGTCCTTGCGGTACGGACAGCAGACTCGACAACGAGTACACAGGCACAACCTTCATACATTCATGCATGCATGCATACGCACTTGAACGCTAGTATGTGTATGTGTGTAGAATACACATTTACACATGCCGGCATGCGTGAATGCACATATACAGATTCTTCAGGATGATGGTCGTAGTACCAGACCGAAATGGTTGAACTAATGTAACAGACCTTGCCCGGGAGGTGATAACATGGCCGGACCTTATGGAAAGGCACGTTGACTCTTTGGTGGACCTGGTCGTGGCAAAGCTGCACGGTTTAGAAGATGCAAGGGTGCTGACGCTTGGATGCGCTTATCTTGCATTTTATTATGGTTCCTGTCCTTGGCTTTCCTTCTTTCGGGTTAGGATCCTGTTTGAGAAGCAAGGTAAGCAAGACAATGACCTGCGTGGTAGACTGGAGGTACCGCCCTAGCTTTTAATTAGGGAACTCCCATGATGATCTCATCATAACACCCAAACCTTGTGGTCCGAACTGCATGTGCTCGAACCGCTCGCGCCCGAAGCACCATCCAGGATCTACATCTCATGCCATTCGCAGATGATGGACAACGTTCCGCAGTTTCTACCCGCTGATGCACGAGGATGGGGCGATGGAGTTTCCTTGTCCTGGCTGGTGCGACGGCTGGATGCAGTCCAACACAAGAATGCTCGCTTCTATATCATCGTGAATGGCTGCCTGACGAACGCGGGTAGAATCGACCGATGGTGCCGGTGCTGCCGGAGGGTGCAGCAGATGCTTCAGAGCGAGGTGCCCGTTTCTGCTGAAATACAAAGCAACTAAAGCAGCATCTTGTGTCCCGGAATGAGCCCGAGACTACTGCCTCAAGCAGAGGCCGGAGAAGAAGCTGCCCCAAACCCCATAACCCTATGAGCCATTGGGACAGTACCACCTGTAGCCCGACCTGCCGACCAAGAACCTTGTCTGGATTTGTCCGAGTTGCGAGAGCGTAAACTCTAAAGAGCGTAGACACAGACTTAAACATCATCTGGCATGGCGCCTGCCTGCATCTTGCTGTAACTTGGGGCGAACATAGGAAACCCACAGGATCCTATTGAGGGTTGCAGTATTTAAGCGACATAGAAGCAAGCGTAGACCCCTCAATCAGGAGCTGGATTCTGCACGGCTTTCTACGAGGATGCTTCGCCGCCGTAGTGATCCTCAGGTGTGGATGTTGTTTGCCACAGACCCCGGTCGAGAAGTCGCAGGCGACATGCAGAACGGAGCCCGTTCTGCAACTAAAGTCTAGATTTGGGGATGCGGCACGAAAACCACGGCTCTCCGACACCCCTAACTCAAAAAGGCCATCTGGCCCTAAAACCCAACACCAGCGCAAAACCACACTCTCCACCACTCAAACTGTTCCCATCATCGTGCCCAGGCGATCTTTTGACCAGGAAGTTCCTCGAAGCCTTGAATGAAAGGCCTGGTAGCATCGCCCTCCTTAAAATCCCTCAAAGCCTTCTATGAAAAACCTCGACCCTCTAGACTTCATGCGGCCTGGGTCGACTTGGGCCCAGCGCATATTAATTATTAATCATGTAAATCACAGAAGAGTGTAAGAGCTACAAGCCATAAACCCCGAAGCAGAAAGGCCTGGCAGCCTGGAGATCGATGAGATCTACAACGAGCTCCACACGTCGCTCTGGAATCTGTCCAGAGGGGAGGTCAGACGGAACTTCTTCTGAGATCTTCTGATCCCTAAACTCTGTACCCTATGCCCAAATGATGATATAGATGTTACATATTGGGATCCTGAAAGTAGGGACTCCCAATTGTAAGAACACCGCTTAAAGGGCATGCAAAACATAGAAGCCTGAAGAACTGAGAATACCTTTCCTTAGAGTTCCTCTGTATGCTAGTCTTATTTACAAGTACTATGAAAGTTATTATGATGATACTGACCGTGACAACAAGTATATGGCATTTTCACATTTCATTATGATGATTCCTATGGTTAGTGCTTGTATGCCTCATAGTATTGAGCTCACTCCGCAACCAACTTGTCTGCATTTTGCCACTCGTGATCATGCGTCGTCGCTGGAGGAGGCAGAAAAATGAAAACCTGGACCTACCCCACTTGTTTTCTCCAATCTCGGGCCCCACATCAGCCTCTGCCTCAAACACCCCCGCATCTTATAATGTAAGGGTCGGAAGCATTACTGACCATATCCCTCCGCGTAGTCCCTTTGTAGGCCCAGTATATAGCTATATAGCATAATATACCGCGAAGACCTTGCTTAGTTCAAAAAGCTACAGAAGCTCTGGACAGGGTGGATCACAGCATCCCTACTTGATCACGACTGGCCGGATCCCTCCCCCAATCCCGCGTCAGAGCTCGGAGGAGAGCCAGCAGAAGCTTTGCTGCAGCAAGGTGCTTTGTTGATTTTGGGAAAGGGCCGCCGAATACAATTGGAGGTCATACATCTGCCATGAAGCAAAATCGCAACTCGAAGATTAATATGGGCTTCAGGGTTTGCTTTTTAGGTTTTGGCCTTCGTGTCCCTGCCTTAGCCTGGGGCTTCGGGCTTTACCGAGACTCTTACAAGCATTCGAAGGTACAGTAGCCCCCTCCACGTGTTGAATGGATCCTAGTTCATTCAGGCATCCTAGTGGTCCTAGTGCATACACACACACACTTGCACAATCCAGGCTCGAGGCACTAATTCCTCTAACCGCTTGATTTCTGAAGACCTAAGATAAACCCCTGGGGTCCGCCAGCCCAGATCGCCCATGGTTTAGGAGGTACCCTGCTTTTTCCCACGGCGGCGAGTTGTGCAAACGCGGGTCATACGGGAAAGAAGGTTTTTACTACAGAGGTCAGAGAGCGAATTTTTGCGGGGTTTAGGGTGTAGAGCCAGAACGCTGTGAACACCACATCAGGAAAGAAGGCGACCAAGAAATGGGACCAGGCGGACGTGAAACTATTTCAGAAGCTAGACGCCAATTTTCTGTCACCACGACTTCAGACCCCTAAAGCCTAAACTTTAAGGCTTGAGAAGCAGAGGACCCGTGCAAGCGCTTTGACATTGCAAAGTACGGCGGCGTCTTCCGCATAGGCGGAAGCCAGGCTGAGGAGGTGTCTGGCTTGCAAAGCCTGTAAAATTCAGGGTCTAGGTATAGGGTTTCGGGTTCGCGTTTTCGAGATTTGGTTTTCAGGGTTTAGAGATGTTTCGAGTGTAGGCCCAGGAGTTGGTGTTGAAACGGGTTATCAGTTCATCATTTCCGGCTTCGGGAGCTGATGCTTGAACCTTCCGGAGTTAATAGGAGAAACTAGTAGATCTTACTAGGCCCATATTGAAACGGGAGTTTCCAGAAATCGGCCTTGTATTTTGCAGTGCCCTAAATCCTCCCGGGGGGTCTCATGGGCTTAGCTCTTGAGATTCGAAGGTTTTCTCAAGGCTGACTGAACATCCGCCACCCTATGAAACTTCATGCAAGGGCTGGCTACTTAGAACAGGGTTTCGGGGTAGAGTATAGTAGTATTATGTCCGGGACATAAAGCGATACCATTTCCACTTCATCAGACTGCTGTATTGCCTAGACCCAAAAAAGTCGTTACCGGTCTTGGTGCCAAGGGATCCGGACCAAACAGCAGGACATCCAAAAGCATCCCTAGCAGCATGCGTGCCTCCTTTTTCCGTTTGCAATACCCAGTCATATTAGGGGTTTGTTTACCAGTCCCAAAAGCAGCAGGTTACAGGTAAAGCATTAGGGTTTAGGGGTTTGGGGCCTAGGGTGAACGAACAGCCTTCTTGAGTGGCCGAGCGAGACGCTAGCCGCCGTACTTGTCAACCCTACAACCCACACCATTCAAAAACTGCATGCCTAAACACAAATCTCGCATTTTCAGCGGGCCCGTTCGTAAACAGAAACATTTGCTACTCCAGTCCGCGCAATCACGAGTCGGAGCTCACGCGAGTCACTGTTGTTTGTGGCGGCGTTTCTTTACAACCAGCTGCGATTTTTGAGCTTGCGTGGCCCCTGGACTGCAGCATTTCTTAGTGGGCAGCCTATTCATTTTTTAGGACCCCTTCGAGATGCGAGAAGACAGGGTGTCCAAGCCGAAAACTCACATTTAGGGATTTGGGGAACGACCGAAAGCAACCCTTCTCGGATCCTTACAATCGCGAACTCTATCGGTAGTATTGTCTTTGAAGCCCTAGACTCCGAAACCGAACACCCCTGATCTCGCGAACGCAGGAAGAATGTCATTCTTCAGTTCCAAATCCTCAGCCCTAAACCCCAATACCTCTTGAGCCTGCCGCTATTCAACCAAGTAACCTGCAATGCGAGCTTCGTCCTTGCCAAGTAGGAGGGCAAAAAAGCCCTAAAACTTCGGCTACTTGCCTCAGCGCCGTTCTACAGCTAGCCACCAGAGGCCAACCTCGGGAAGTCACATCATATGAGCCCTTCTGAGCCTTGCTTTAGGGGTGTAGGGCATTCAGTGTTTAGCGCTTGGTCCCCGAAGGGATGCGTCTTGAGCTTTGCTGCTGTGGGACTGTCATTAGTGACTTGTTTTGTGGAGTTTGAGGAACAGTTCTACGCTCATCCACCAGTCGAAACTTGACCATTGTCAATTGTTGAAGCAGGTGGTCGCAGTTAATTACACTCAAAATTAATCTTCTTGGCACGGGGGCTGAACCATAAACCTTTGAATTCGTGATGCTAGCTGCTAGCTGCTAGAGGGCTTCTCAAGTGCTAGGAAGTGAAGAAAGGTCGGTATTCGGCGTGTCGGATGTCCATGTACTTCCGAAGCTGAAAGGCTGTAGTAGGTAATGGGGTACACTCTTCATGCAAGTGCGTAGTATTGTGGATGGGTGCATGCTGCTAAATGCTCCCCGACAGGTCCACCAATGTGCTCAGTCGTCTTACTCAAACTGCAGCATCTCTTTGTGTTGTGCATGCCCGGCACGTGTCTTCGGACCGGCGTCAGAAGCACGAAATTCAGAATCAAATCAATTATCGCTTCGTCTTTCAAGGCACGCTGGCTGCTCTGTACAGGCTCTCGCAGCAGCACAACGGGCCCAAGTCTCAAAGCCCTATACAACCCTCACCCTCAGTGTTGAAGTAGCCCGGCAGCGCGGCCTCTGGGCCGAAGCGCCTTGTAAGATGAGCCCTTAGAGCCACGGAGGATAGTCGTAGGCCTCAGGGAAAGAGGGTGGGCCCGGGACTTTGCTAATCGCTGTACGGCTGTGGTACGGCCGGAGAGTGCAGCGAACCGACGGAGTGCGGCAGTTGCTTGAAAACGATTCGGCTGCTTTGCGTGGGTGGGCCACTACTTGCAGCCATGGCCGTGTGGATCCGTATTGAGAGCAGCACTAGCATCAGCATTAAGTTCGAAGTGGTGCAGGAGAGCTGCTTATTGCGGGTGCTGGCGCTGGCATTGCGTCTGCCTCAGACTCCTTATAGCTGCTGATTGTACCAAGACGAGGCTTATGTTCATCAAAGTTTGTTCATTTCCTAAGCTGCATCCCGGATTTTATGGTCATGTATGTAGGGCCCACCTTAACCCCAAACAACCTACCTTGGTAAGGAGTTGCATGTGGAAAGCATGTTAAGGAGCCCACAAAATGCAGGTTTCTCAGGGTCCAGGTACCCTTTGCCAGAATACGATGTCACTTCCTCCAGCCCGACGGCCGCCTAAACCCTAAGCTATCGTTTCGGAAAAAACCGAGTGTGAGCGCCGAAACCCCTGCACTTGAGGTCCCTAAACGCACAACTCTGGAGTTCAGGGCTATCAAGAAGACTCCAGAAATCCTTGGCCCTACACCCTTCCTGGACCGTAGAGAACCTGCCTCTCTAGGGTTCCGTATTATGACTGCCTTTTATAAGTCCAGGTAGGATCGTTGGGGTTAAGGTTAACACTAAACTATTAAACCCTAAGCCTGAGGTCAGCAAAACGATCACGGCCCCCATGGACCGGATACGGACACTCGTCTGACGTTGGTAGTTCAGGGTTTGACGGCCGCAGAGCTCTTGGCGCCTCTTGGCGCACCATAGTAGTAGCGCCATTTCTACTGCTATAGGCCAGTACTCTGCTTGTTATTTCCAGGAGTGACACTCGTATTATTGCCAGTGCCAGTTTCAGCACTAGTATGTACTAGTATTGGCTTCTCAGCACTATTCGCAGAACTATCATTACGGAGAGATACATATATGCACGTTTGTAGCTGTATCTATCTATATACTTATGCATGATGTAGCCGTTATGTAGCCTTTGCATTCTACGGAACCTCGTATGATTACTGTAGGTGCTCTGTTCGTAGAAGATCGTCAGAGAGCCTTCCTTGAAGAGCGTTTGGGGCTTGGAGTTTGGGGATTGGGTTTATGGGAAACAATACCTGTTAGTTCGGGCACGGCAATGTGTGTAATATAGACATGTGGTTAGTTTGATACGAGGCAGAGGATAGGTTATGAGCATGCAGCTGCAAAGGTAAACGCAATACACACACACAGATGTGTATATATATACATATGTATACACAGACATGTACATATACACACAAGTATTTGCACATACGAGTCTGTACTGAGTTTAAATGTGAGAGCAATATAATAGCCGCATAAACATCGACGGCATGCATGCATACATACACATGCAACAGCTGTTTATGGCATGGTGCACAAGCCCCTGAGCCGCATTTTAGATCATGAGCTATGAAAAATGGGTGTTTCAAGTTGCTGGTCATCAATCTACCTAGACCATAGGCTGCAGTATTCTTTGGTTCGCCTTTCAAAGCTTTTTTCTAAACAAAGGCACGGTAACGATAATGCAGGTTCCAGTTAAATTAATCTAGCCTCCTCGAGGAGGTCATATAAGTTGGTAGAAAACCCCTTAACCTTGAATGGCTAAGCTTGATGATGGTTAGCAGAAGGGTAAAATGGGTGCTTGACCCGAGGATCCTCTTCCAAGTGCACCGCAAGCGGCTCTTCAGCCTTCGTGGCTCCGTCGGTGGCAAATTTAGGCGTTCACGGTTCGCAGGGTATGCATTGGGGAGATTCCAGAGGCGCGAAAACTGAACAAAAACACCTGTACAGTACGGTCTTCAGGATCGTTAAGTTCATCAAAAAACCACAGGAAGCTTGTTGCACAGAGTCTGATGGTGTGGGCTTCTCAATAAGTTCCAAGACGTGTATAGGTTTGGATCTCTGGGTCACTTCAGAGCTCATGCGCTGCAGCCGCAACATCCCGAATTCAAAACGATTAAGGCCCAACTCACCACGCATCGAAGCTTCAAAGCCAAGGATCGCACGAGCCTTACAACCCTAAAGAGCCAAACTCGAGGAGCCCTGAAGCCTGATGAGGGCGGCCTTCTTGTCTTGACACATTGAAAGCTCCGTAACCCTAAGGCCCCAAAGTAGTTCCTTTTTGGGGTTCATATA